ACTACTAAATAGTTTGTGAATTGGTCGATTGTGTGTCAGAAATTTAAAATAGACAAGTTGACAGTCACATTCACGCTCTCAGTGTATTTCTTTCGTCTGTCATTCTTCCGTTTTCAATTATACTGGACATCAGGCAAGCTATGGGGATAATCTTTATTTGTCTCACACCTTCTGTGGGGCAATAAACAATGCAGGGTGGAAGTGAGGCACGACAAGCTTGTGTCTGCCTGATTGTAAACAACCGGGCGGCTGGCGCTTATTTCTGGTTTCTTATTGACAAAACCACTCAACTCTTGGTGGCTCTTAATGGAGGGTCAAATGTAACAAATTTTCACTGAGTGGCTCTTAATTGAGGGTGGCGCTTATTTGCGGATTTTTACGGTAATTAAGATATCAGTGTTAATTAATTATTTTAATCAGGTGATCAATAAGCATAAATATTTACCAAAAACTAATTGGGTCTCTGCATAGTCCTAGGTTCACTGAAATGTGATGATGAATACTCAAGTTTCAATAAAATCAAATTAGTGGTTATATATCAGTGGAACATTCATCGAAAAAATTAACTAATTATGTGAATTAGGTAATTAATATCCACAACTATTTACCCTAAAACTAAGCAGGTTTCTGCATAGTCCTAGAGGATCTATGTAGCAAGTCTCATTGAAATATGATGATCAGTACTTGAGTTATCAGGCAAAAAGTTGAAAATTAACTAATTATGCTAATAAGGTAATTAATATGCACAAATATTTACGCCATAACTAATCAGGTCTCTGCACAGTCTTTAAGTAACTACCGTATTTATCCGGGTATAAGCCCAGGGTCTTGAACATGGAAAATTGCCCAAAAGAAGGGGTGGGCGTTTGCCAGGAGATCCCCGGCAAAAAAAACGAAAATTCATGAAAATTGACAACAGGCAGATCAAACTACGGCAGGGAATAGAACGGCAAATGAAAACATGCAACGGAAATAAATGAACACTATGCAACACTAGAAGTAAAACAAAAATAATGTATTGCTTATAATGTGACAAATAAACCAGAAATAATAAAAATCAACAGCGAGAAATCATTTGAATTAGGATTTTCCCGCCGACAAACACGCCCAATACGCGTGAACTCAAATAGAATTAAAATGTCAGGGGTTGAACTGCGTAAAATGATTTCCGGTCTCGACAAATTACGAATCAACCGTCATGCAAGATCAATATTAATTTACAAATTTACACAGTAAAAATTATAAAAATTCGTAGCTGTTTGAAAACACTTCTCAGATCTTTATTTGTACGTTCTTTGCCATCTTCGTCAAACTCAA